TAATAAACAAACAGACATTCACATTTATATATATAGATTAGCAAAAATTTTAAAAATATAATTTTGTTTACTTGGGCAATATTTTTTTCATAGGGATATACACTGGATTCTTGGCTAAAAACTTTTGTGGTAAAACTGTCCCTTCTTTGCTATTTAAAGTCAAAGAGTAAGCTCCTTCAATAGGGATTTCCAGCAGAAATGATAAACGTCTAGCTATAAAGAGAATCGATGCTCAAATAATTAAAAAACTATAGGTCTGACCTTTAATAAGGTAAGAATTACGTAACTATCTGAGATTCAAATGCTAATAAAAAACAGGGTGCTTTTTTTTAAATAACAATATTCTGAACTGAGTCGGCTGGCAGCCACGACCTTGAAATCAGAATTTTGTTCAAAATTTTCATTCCTGGAAAATAATAATTTATTTTTCATATCCACCTATTTAGCTCGCTATAAGCACACATTTTTCAAACCCGCCGCAGGAGAAAGTATTAAAAATTAGTTACAGAAATTAAATCGAAAAACGTTGATGAAGTTACAGATTCCTCAAATTCGAAACAGCCAAAGTAATGAGAATGAAGAATTCTTTTTAAAAACTTTAGACAACCTGACACATCTGGTTTGGCCTCGCCATTATGCTAGATTCTAATCGTTTCTTAAAAATACTTAACATCCGCATTCGCATTCGCATCTGCGGATGTTAGCTGTTAGATATTCGCATCCGCATTCGCATCCGCGGATGTCTAAAATTCCACATTCGCAACATCCCTGATTTGTACCACCAAATATCTTCATACATTACAATACGATTACATTAGTGAAGAGCAAACCGTATATACACGCAAATGAAGCAGACTAAACGGCGAAGTCGATTTCTATTTGACAAAATGTTTAACTCGACACGGGTGCTTCAAAGCATACCGATTCAAACACGAACCGGAACCCTTATGCGACCACTGCGGAGGAGATGTAATAGAAGACATCTTTTTTGAGTCGATTTCTATTTGACAAAATGTTTAACTCGACATGGGTGCTTCAAAGCATACCGATTCAAACACGAACCGGAACCCATATGCGACCACTGCGGAGGAGATGTAATAGAAGACGTCTTTTTTGAGTGTATGCGATTTGACAGTACCAGATACAAACTTCGCAACATGTAACGCAATAGCAGAGGCGATGAAGGGGCTAAGGACCCCTGAATGGCTACGGCATAGCAGCGGCGACTAACTACCTTTCTCCCTCACGATGTAGTGCTTGACGTCATTCCCGTGGGGTGCAGAGTTCTAAGAAATAACATGCCGTTCCTGGTTTTATAGGGACACTTGAGAGCCCATGAAAAAACTGTAAAAGTATAAACCGAACGAGTTCGCTGAGTAAATTTCGTCGGACGGAGCGATGCCGCTGGGTGATATTCGCTTAACATTTCATCAAGTAAAACTGAACCGGAACAATAATTTAGTGTTACTACAAATATTGTGGAAGATTGTCCTTAAAAAATGCTACTTTGAAAATAAGAAAAGGCTAGAAAAAAGCCACGAAGCTAAATCCTAAATTTCGAAGCTAACGACAAAGGAAAAAAGCTAGATCTGACCTCAAAAAGGCTAAACTGGCAACACTGATTATGATATATTTTCTTCTGAAAAATACCCAACAGATATAGCGATTTTGACCACATACCTATGAAACTATGCACAATCACCAAAATCAGAAGTTCCTGATTGTGCAATAAAATAAGATCGAATTTAAAAGATGAAACTTTAAAGACTATCATTCCTTCCGAAATATTATGAAAAAAGTCAACCTAATTAGAAGTAAATACGTAGATTTTCTAAACTAAATCGTCTATTTTACATACCAATTTTGAATATAACTGTTTAGAGGAAATAATATGATTTTTTTCAGTTCCGCAAATCGCGCGTATTCGCTGGATTGATGACCGCGGGATTGTGATTTTTATGCGGGATTGGCTTTCTTATTTGTTAGTCACTTAAACTATACCCAGAAAAAAATCAGATAAGTATATTTCTCGCAACCAGAGACCATAACGATTATCAGAAATAAAATTAAATATTGCTCTATAATTATTACTGAACAATGGAAAAGTTGTTTTCGTCTCGCGGGACGATTATTTTAAAATTTAAATTATTTTCGCCATCTCATTATAATTATATGGGGCTTTTATTTTTTCTCGTCTCTCGGGATGTTTATTTCAAGACGGAAATTATTTACGTCTTCTCATAAGAATTATATGGGATTTTTTTTCGTTTTTCGGGACGTTTATTTCAATACGAATATGATTTACGTCTTTTCATAATAATTATATGGGATTTTTAATTTTTCGTCTCTCGGGACGCTTATTTCAAGACGGAAATGATTTACGTCTTCTCCTAATAATTATAAATAAAAGAATGGAACTTCTTGAGTTTCGGAGATTTGACGCATTAAAATTTAACGCCACGATTGTTCATGTCATCAAATCTGTATCGTTCGTTCGATTTTCAAAAACGTGGTGTCAAATTAAAGGGCTTTGCTTTTACGTGGTTTTAGTTAATTGAAAAGGGTTGCCAGATGTTAGCAAATCAAATTCCAATAATCGAGCTCGGATATATTTGCGTTTAATTTCGTGAAATCGGCAGTACATGTACCGATTCTATTAAGAGAAAACGTAAATCGTTGTCGTCTTGAAATAAACGCCACGAGAGACGAAAAAAAAGTCGCATATAATTATTATGAAAAGACGTAAATCATTTCCGTCTTAAAATAAACGTCCTACGAGACGAAAAAAAAATAAAAGTCCCACATAATTATTATGACAAGGCGTAAATCCTTTCCGTCTAGAAATAAACGTCCCGCGAGATGAAAAAAATAAAAGTCCCACATAATTATTATGAGAAGACGTAAATAATATTCGTCTGGAAATAAACGTCCCGAGAGACGTGAAAAATAAAAATCCCATATAATTATTAAGAAAAGACATAAATAGTTTCCATCTGAAAATAATCATCCCACGAGACGAAAAAAGGTATTTCTCGTAAATAACTAATATACAAATACGAAAAAAATTTCGCTTAAAACAAGGCGACGTTTTTGATCTCAAATATTAGAGTAATAATTATTTTGGGTCTCTGCTTGCAACACATTACTTGGTTATAGTTACATTATTTGATTAGTTACCAAATCATGTGTTGACAAAATTATTAGCTGATCTTTTTCTGGGTGTACATTAGGGTGGTCCAATATAAGTAAAGTCGAAATTTCAATGCTCTCATCCCCTAGAATGGTTCTATATCGAAAAAAATATGCCCCTATTTTTTTATTTTGAAATCAAAAAATATTTAGAGGTCGCTCAAAGTTTTCCATGTATTTTATATAGGGAAAACACTTTTCGTGGAATTGGTATGGAATTATTGAAAATCAATATTTTTCGATCGGAAAGCTTTGGTTCTCTTCAGGAGACTTCCAGTAACAATATCCAATTATTTATTTAACCATTTTTTAACACTAAAGATTTTTTATTTATCCCCCATTTCATTTTCTGGCATTTTCTAGGGGTTTTGGCGGACCTATAAAATAAGGTTACTATGAAAAAATGGTTAAAAATATAATTGGGTATTATTACTGGGAATCTCCTGAATAGAAACAGAGTTTTCCGGTCGAAAAATATTGCTTTTCAAGAATTCTATACCATTTCTACGAAAATTTGTTTTTTCCCCATATACATATACATGGAAAATTTTGAGCGCTTTAAGTGACCTCTAAATATATTTTCGGTATAGAACAATCCTAGGGGGTGAGGGCATAAAAATTCCGACTTTACTTTTTTGCATGCATTTTTGGACCACCCTACTAGTGTACATAATACCTAAAGCCTACTCACTTTTAAGTTTTGTCAACGCAATAGTAAAGAGTTTACTGACCCTTAAAGTATGTTCACATATAAATATTATCTCAATCCAAGCGCTTTTTTCACTCACGCCGGTTACACAGGCAAATCTCAAATTATTAGCCGTCAAATTTGTTGTGCTTGTTATTCTCACATCTCAAGGAAAAGTTATGTTTCTTCTCCGTGCCGCCGTGATCACTTTTTTCTTCTATAGTGCTATTTTAAATATATTTTAACCTAGTATTTTATTAAAAATACCTTTACAAACCTCTTCCTTGCTAGCATCCATTTTTGTTTACTTTTACAATTGGCATTTCTCCCCTTCTTCGCAAAAATAATCGATAAAGCTAGGTTGGACACCGAAAAAGTTATCGGTTAAATCTGAGATTGTTTTATAATTACAGATTAACAAGGGACGAATTTTGTATGGCTAATCTCTTTTTCTACTTACAGATTAGGGAGTTAAGCTCGAAAATGAAGATAATCTACTTATATGTAAACCTAGTATTATGCCCTGAAACTTAGCGTTTGTTCGCAACAGGAACTTCAGGACAGCTGTTTTTTGATATGACATCTCTCTCACTCCCTCGGTTAGCGTGGGGGCCATCTGGCAGGCGGTAATGGTTGCGTTGACTAGTGCGCATCGTATCTTTACAGTTAAAAATGCCAATTTATTTAATCATTTTTGTAAGGCTAATTTTCTTTCCATTGGTTTTAACTAGCTTTTAGAAACGTAGATTTATTATTGCCAGACATGTCCGTTGTTGCTAACATGCTACACGTAATTTTTTATTAAAAAAAAAAAAAAAAATTATTTTTCAACTCATTTTATTAAAGCTCAAAATTTAATATGTTGTTTAAGTACTAATGAATCTGAAATTAATTTGCCAGACATTAATTCGGTTGCTAAAGCAAGAGCCAGACCGATTTAAACCTTAAAAGTATTACGCTGGTAGTGAGGGAGATAGTAGCAAAATAGTGAATTTTCATAGGATTTTAGTATGAAAACTGGAAACTATAACTACTTATCTAACGTTATAACATAAATCCAATTATTGGAATATCAAAAATTATATATATATTATTTTTTCAAACACATACGTTAAGGCAAATAAAAACTTAAAACATTTCAAAAAACATCAACATGTATAGTGTCGAAATAAAGCAAGAAAAGCAAGAGAAAAACACAAACATTTTGAACATTTGCGTGGGCCAATGCAAAAATAGCATTTAAAATAAAAAACGGTCTGTACAGTAAAAAAGGCCAAAACTGGGCCCTTACTCTGTAGTTCGATTCGAAAGGTTGTTCTATTCGAAAGCCAAATTCGAATCGAAGCCCCATTCGTACTCCATAGTTCGTTCGAATCAACTTTCGAAGATATTCGAAAAAAGAGAGCAACACTGTTTGCCAAATGTCAAACGCAAAGCAAAATAAAGAAAGAAACTAAAATCAAAACAAGAAGATGAAATTGCTAACATTGCGATTGTGAAGATTGTGCATTTAAGAACTCAATTGTTGTGTTAAATTTATTTAATATTAGTGAAAGTCCTTGATAAAAAAAAATACCAAATGGATTCAGTTGCGATATGGCTGGAAGCAGATGAAGACCAAGTGACGGAACGAGTGCAATTGAGAGCGCTTAGGGATAAGGCCAACATATTCACTCTCAATGATAAATGGTAAAAGGATTGCTTTATTTCTAACTATTTATATTTTATGTATTTATAATTATCCCTTTACAGTTTTACGCAAAATTTCCGCCTAAACAAGCAAGCGTTTCGGTACGTGCTAAATGCCATTACGCCGGAGTTAAGCACTCCTCGAAAATCGACAGCAATTCCCCCAATTATTAAGCTGGCCGCCGCACTGAAATTATTGGGGCAAGGAGGATACCAACACCAAATTGGTCAAGACCAACACGTAGGCCTTTCTCAGCAATCAATGTCACGCTGCCTCATTGAAGTGTGTAAAGCAATTGAGAAAAGGCTATGTCAACGACACATTAATTTTGCAAGTACGGACGCAGACGAAACAGAGGCGAAATTATATTTCTATGAAAAGTGTGGAATTCCGGGCGTGTTGTTTGCAATAGATGGCACACATATACAAATGACAAGACCAACAAGGAATGAGCATTTGTACTATAACAGAAAACTGAAGCACAGTATGAATGCAATGGTTGTAAGTATTGCATTATCATAAAAGTTTTCAACAAAAGGTTTCAAATTAAAATTCTTAGATGTGTGACCACAACATGAGAATTAGAGCTGTTGACGCGCGATACGGTGGTGCATGCCATGATTCCCATGTATGGAACCTGTCCAGCGAAAGAAGGGCTTTACATTCTCGTTTTGACAATGGCGAGAGAGGGATACGGATTCTTGGTTAGCAGCAAATAATACTTGTGTATCTTTTATTTATTACTAATTGAGTTAAATAATTTAAGGTGACTCAGGATATCCGCTGGAACCATGGATGTTAACTCCTTATCGAAACTCAGCCGAAAATTCAGCGGAATGCCGGTTCAATAATTGCCATGCCAAAGGGCGTTCGATCATTGAACGAGTATTTGGAATGCTGAAAGGAAGGTTTCGATGTCTTTTGGCCGCACGGGAACTGCATTATGCTCCCCAAAAGGTTTCAGCAATAATGAACTTTTGCTGCACTTTGCACAATATTTGTTTGCAATTTAAGGCTGATTTGTAATCTTCAGAAGTATTTCCCACAGAAGATATACATTAGGCTGGGTCGATTTTGTATGGGGGAAAATAAAAGTCATTTGACCGCATTGTAATAGTAATATTATGATGTCTTAGGTCTCAGCCAATTGTTATTGGCTACGAAAGATTAATTTAAAACTTCTCTTTAGCCCGCGCAATTGAATCAAAGTGTATGAATTTCGAAAATGAAACTTTGGCTTGTAATATCTATGGAATGCGTTATTGTTATAAACAGGACGATATATCAAATTAAGGGCTATTAAATTTAGAACCTCACGTTCATTTATCATTTTTCAATAAGTCTACACGATTTTAAGATATTAAAATAAAAAATAAGAAAACTATTATTTTCCCATATGAATTTTAAATTCTTCATTACTTCAGCAACCAAGTGAAAAATACAAAAAAGTTGGACGAGATTTATTTCAAAACTTTTAATGTTTATATAATATTAAAATGACCATGGACTTGGTCACGCCGATTTGGTCAGTTTTCAAGATCGTGGTGAATGAATGTATTGTCAAAGATTAGGAATCGTTCGACAAGTTAATAGTAGTTTCAAACATATAAGTATTTACATACATTACAATTAGGTTGAGAAACGCCTATTTAAAGTCCATTTTTGCAGTCTTGAAAACCGGTGCGGAATGGTTTCATTAGTCGCAATAAGTGTTTAGATATACATAAATATTTTAGTTAATTCCATTATGTGAAAAAGTGTCTGTAGGTAAATGCAATAGTCTTCAACATATCCTGGGAAATCCCTTTGAGGACTCTCCAATTGGACGATATTGCTTTGCATTCAGCTTGAACGAAAAAAGTCACTCGCTGGCACAGTTTTCTGTAATCCGGTTCTTTTATTTAAAGGTTATTTATACAATTGAAGAGAAATTTTTTTAGAAAAAAACTGGAAATCCACTTAAGTTTTTCGATATAACTTTGGTAAATGTTACTCGATCGGTGCGTAATAATTAACAAATTGAAGGCGAGACTTAATGTTACTGATTTTTGATAATAATATGACTAAAATAGTTCAGATTATAAACAAATTATTTTAAAATAAAAAAAATCTTGAACAAAATTTTTTATCATTTTCTTATATTTGCAATTTTTATATTGTATGCATAAACATAAGTAAACCAATTAGTGTGTCTAGACGTTGTGCCGGTTCAGTGTTTCCATACTAATTTGCATAAACAAAATTTTTCCGCGATGATGGAAAATAATGGCTATTCTATTAGAGCTACCGAAATTGTTCCTAAATTTGCAAAAAATCGCAAACTATAGCTAATATTAAAAAAGGATTAGAATATTTGGAACTAGCTATCTAAATGCACGCCAGCAATATTAATATTGTTCTTTACATCTTTTGACTATAGGCCAATGCAATTATCAAGAGAACAATTAAAATTTTCTTGAAAATAGATGAGTTTGAGATTAACGATAAGATAAAGGTCTGCGCGAAATGATACTTGACTTTATCTTTTGGGTTAAAGGATTCATTATCTAATAATATGCACCAAAAGTTTTGGCTAAACCCAGAATTTTTAACAAGAATTGGTCTTATTCGACTAGTGTGCTGTGGGTCACTTGGCGGTCGATGCGCGGGCTCTTACAATTAAAATGAAAGACTAATATTTCGCAGGCTTGTTGTTGACTTCATGATACAATATATTTTCACTATTACCAAGGGATTTGAGAAAAATTAGATTTTCGACCCGCCCTAATATACATTTATTGGTTACTGAGAACATTGAGGAAGCGGAAACTAATGCGGCAAATATTTCTAGAAATCTAAGAGACGAAATAAGAAATAGTTTAGTTTCATGATAATAAAAAAACTTTATTCTGTAGTTTCAAAAAAAAAAATAGTTAGTATGATAAAGAATTCACAGCCTTTTCGTAGCTTAAATGGTGATTAAAAAATCAGAATATACACCGTATATCCAAAAGTTTTTAAATAATAAGTCAAAAACTTAAAATAAATTCATCAGTCTTTTCGCTATAAAAGGAACTATATACATTAACATAAATAAATTCATTAATAAGCCACACTTAGGACACTTAAACTATATCTAAAACTACATTGAAACTCAAAAGGACATAAGAAATTCATTGTTTTTTTTTTCAAAACTTAAACCTATACTTAAAACTAATATTCACATCTTCTTGCTTTTAATTTTAATTGTTTTAATTTTGCGTTTCTTTTTTTTCATTTTTTTTTTTAAACTCAAACTTCTCTCGCTCTAGTTGAAGTTTGGCTTCTTCTAGTTCAACATTTCTTCTAAAATAATTGCTTAAACTACTTAAACTCTCACTAATTTCTTCTAATTTTTTTCACAGAATTTTCATGATGTTTACATTGTTTTTCCACTTGGTATCTTAATAAATTATCTCTGCCTGGAGGTACTGAGCGTGCAATTATCGGTGGTGTGTTGGTAGGAAGCGCATTGGGTGGGGAGATGGTAGGAAGAACATTGAGTGATGTGTCAGGAGAAAGAGCATTTGGATTATGATTTTCTGCATCCGAGTGAACATCGTTATTTGGCCCCGAGTTTGCAGAATCAAATAAGTTACAAGATGGTGGGTTGGCACCGAAGCGAGGCTCAGACATCGCCATTTATTGCCTCGTCAATGCTCAATAATGCAACCACTTGTTCCTCCGTTGCAGTGAGTGAGAAGAATTTCGATGGCCCACCTCCTGTGCCCGACATGCTCTCTTTGTTTCTTCGCAGCTTAGCTTTGATGTTGCTCTTATAATCTGCCCATATCTACAAAAGTTTAACGCGCGTTACACTAACATTAATGGGAATATAGTACATTTTTTACCTTTTTCTATTCAACAAAGTTGTGAGTTGGAGGTCCACTTGAATTTAGCTCAGCCTCTAATCTTTTCCAAAGATTGTTGGATAATTGTTTTGCAGCTAAACCCTTTATTTGGCCTTTCGCCAAATCACTGTGGTCTTTCATAAAATTCACCATGATTTCGAACTGTCGCGATTTCGTGTTTGGTTGCTTAACTCTTTCTGCCCTAAAAATGATTTTTCGATGAAAATAATACTTATTTTTTTATTATAATCATAATAACTTACATTTTTGTGGATCTCCGTTTACCAAGTGGTTGTCGAATAGAATTTTCTAACATTCCACTATTTTGACATTTGCTTTCGAAACAGAGAGTACCAAATATTCGATAATCGAAAGGGGATAAATTAAATTCGAAGGGAACAGAATGGAATTCGAACATCGAACGAATGCTACTCGAAAGGTTCTTTCAGAGTACGAATTACTCGAAAGCGAACAAATTTTCTTTCGAATCGAACTACAGAGTAAGGGCCCTGGTCTTTGATGCCATATGGAATACTAGTCCCTTTCGATGTCATGAGCTTTGCTCTTATTTCCACCTGTGAAATCTCTGCCAAGCGTGTATAATCTCCTTTGATCTTGCAACTACAACATTGGTCCGATGCGGAAGCCAATAAAAGTCCTTATAAGGAAGCCTGAGAGAAAAGATGAGCGTTTTATAAGAGGGCCAAGAATCCTCGAAGCCCCTCAGGATGAAAAGTTTTCCCGTACATTGGCTAAATGAGTCGTGTGATCTCTTGAATATCGTTCAAATGAAGCCATTGATATACCATCCGTGTTCCTTCTTGGACGGATGTGGTCGAATCTTTCCTAGCCAATTCTCCACTTTTTTAATTCGTATTAATATTTATGAACTGGTTTCTTTTAGTCTTACTGCTGCAAAAACGGCCGCACCGAGCAGTCTCCTTAATCGGAGGTAAATGCAAGATCGCATTTAGGGTATATGAGGGCGTCAGACAAAGGTGCGCTTACATAATTTTATTTAACAATCTGAAAAGTAAATTCACATAAAATAAACATAGGGCCAAAGCAGGCCAAGCCCATGGGGTTTCTATATATTACGGCTGCAGCGCCATCCTTGGGTCCCTTTTCTGCAAAACCATTGCTTATCATGAAATGATTATTATAAATTTCAACCAGGTTGTATTAAAAATAAGGATTTTCTAAATATATCGCCTCCACCGCCACCCAACAGGTCCATTTCTTGCAAACGAATTCATCATACAGGTGGCTCACATTGGCGAATTTGAACGAAATTGGTCAATAAATACGACCTTTATAAATGACTCAACTCCAGTGCCACCAAGAGAGTTTTCTAGTAGTTAGTCTATAATAGGACCATATGTGAACGGTATAACCTCCGACAACTTGACTGAACTCTATCCAGTGGTTTTTGAGTTCGGTCCGAACAACAAACAGCTACAATTTTATGTATGTATATAGATACATATGTATGTAGATAGGACAGTCTATAACGAAAGTCATAAAAATTAAAATTTCATATTTTGTGCAAAATTTAAAAAAAAATCTTAAAAATTTCCACAAAAAATTTTACCCTTTCCCAAAAATTAAAAAGAAAGTAACAATCGCTTAATGCGATTTAGAAATCTAGGAGAAAACGGTTCCCAGTGATGCTTGCCTATCTATGTATATGTACATATATAGGTGCAGCCATTCCAATAACTACCACTTTTAGACGTAACTTGCTGTCACAATTAGCGATTGTTCATGTTTTGCGAT